GGTGTGCATGCGTTGAACAGATTATATGAGTGGATGAAGGTAAACATTAATGAGATAGTAATCGGACTGTGAAAGCGGTTGAAGATAAACGTTGATGGGGTGGTAAGCAAACTCTGGTAAAGTGGTCAAAGATAGACGTTGAAAGGATGGTAACCAAACTCTGGTAAAGTGGTCGAAGATAAACGTTGAGGGGATGGTAACCAACAGGTCTCCCTAACTGTCCCATTTGTTTCTTCCTTCCATTGTGATAATAAAAAATAAGATAATCATTCAGACACTTTCAGGGCGTAACTGCCATGTCACCCGAGGAAAGCACGAGGGCTGAGTTACTCCCAGGCTGCGCAAGCCGTGACAGGAGCGGTCGAGGGGCAGAGGTCTGATCCTAACCGCGGCCTTGCCGGTCAGTAAATTCGCACCCTAACCGCAGCCACCCATTATGAGGTTTTCACTGAAATAAACTGACATGTTTGTGTGACAGTGAAGCACAAGAATTCTCATCTGATATTGCTGTCAATGATGTTGATGATGACTCCTGGATGGTACGCCCAACCCCGTCATTTATCGCCCAATGTGTGTGCCCATCCAAACAGAAGTCTACCCCAAGGAGGGCTAAATAATTCCTTTCCAAAGACAACCGGGAACAAAGAGGGCATCTGGGATTTTGTCAGACAGCCGTTGGACGCTACTCTGTGTATCCCTTGACAATATCTCAGTTGGTTATTTCATCTGGATTTGGAAGTTCACATGGTTGGGAGTAATTCAGTTTAAAGTACCCAGCTTCAACACCTTTGGGCAAATGCCTTGCATAGTACCTGAGGAACTAGAGAACGAGACATTGCTAGGTTATTGAGATCTAGGTGTGAAAAACTGTTTTTACTAGGTTTTTCGGCTGAAGAGCCTGCGTCTTAAGTGTTCCATCCACTAACTCGTTGGTAATTTGTTATTAATCATGATCACCTTGCATCCAGCGTTCCTTAACCTGCACTTGAGTCCGCGTATGTGAACAGATTCTCATCTGACCTACGGTGTAACTTAAATTTCACTTGTTGAAGAACATATTTTGAGACCACAATTGGCTTCCATCCAGCGGTGATTATCACTCAGATATTCAAACTTTGATTATATCCAGATCATGCAGTACCGTTAAAATCTTGTTGTGTAACAGCAAGTCCCAACCGAGATTTCATCGCGCACTTGACGTCAATCCATGCCGAAGACTTAAGGATTACCGCCTGGCTCTTTTCATTGTTATTAGAATTCTGCGGTGTACATCTCAGGAATCTGTAGGGAGACTTAAACCTCGACCTTCTGGTTCAAATTTGAGCACTATATATTTCGGCCACGAATCGTTGGTGGGTTTTGCAGTTAACTTGCATATTTTTCTGCTGACTGGCCACTCGTTCGTTGCAGAATTGTGGTATTTTTTTATTCACTGACGAACGAGAAGGATGTGGGTTCGAATCTCATGGTTCCCAGCAACGGCAAGTCAGCTGTACTTTTTTTAACTTTTCAGCATAGTTGGCTCAGCCTGAGGAACGAAATCTCATTGAAAACTAAAAAAATTCCAAACTACCAGCAGATGCATTTATTCGTGCTGAATGATTGCGATTACCTATAGCTTCTGCAACTCGTCAGCTTTCATAGTGTTCAATCCAGCACGTCGCTAGTTGCTGCAGTTTGCTTAACCGACTGCTACTTCATCATACTCCAACCCGTGGACATCGTACTAATTTATTGAGTAGGATCAAGGGACTTTTTGGGTCATCAAAGCCCTGCACGTGTGCCACGTGTCACGGTTTATTACAGTCAACTGAAGCAGTCCGCTTCACTCCTGAATTTACATATACTTCTCAGTCGCTGTGTATTTTCTGTCTGGCTCGATAATTCCAGATCTTCTGGTGGTTGATCGGATGACAGTTGATCCGCTCGCCGAACTTGGCAATCAGCTTACAAACGTTTCGTCTCCAGTCGAGTAGACATCGTCAGTGCTGAGTGGGTGTCGTCAGTGTGCAGTTTAATGGGTGCTTCCTCCGTGCCTAGCTGCGTTTATGTAGTTTTTGAAGAGTATCTAATATCCTGTCGTGTGATTGCCTAGTGGGTATATACCTTCCGTTGCATTATTGTAGGACCGACCGTGATTTTTGCTGCGTTGCTGTCGGTATGCCTCTTATTCCATTGGTTTGTTGGATGACTGCTTTGGGGTGCTTCAGATCTGTTTGCAGTTGGTCTGTTCCCGGTTGGTGTTTCGTGATCTTCCTTCCTTTAATCTGGTTGGTTGTGACGGCGGCTGCTATTTTCGGTAGTTCCCTTGCTTCAGCCTGATTGTTTCTGTTTACTTTGTCCGCCTCGGCTTTCTATAGTCCTGTAATTCTTTTGTTTGCAGTGGCCGATAGACTGGATCAATCTCGATGTGTTTGTAGATGGCTTTTTCAGTGGAGCGCCATGCTTCTATGAATTCACGTTCTTTCTTTGTTCTCACTTAGGCCAATATGTGAACGGTGCTTTAATTGAATTTGTGTCCATCTTGACCTTCGTGTACGGAGACGAGTGAAAATTGGTCGTGACCTTTGGTTGCAAGTTTGTGTTCATGTATCCTGGTAGAGAGCTTCCTTCCTTTAACCAGCCAATTACGCGACAAAATATTAGGTAATCCTCAAAAACTACATCAACGCAGCTAGGCACGGAGGAAGCACCCACTCAGCTATGCACCGACGATGTCTCCTCGACTGGAGACGGAACGTTTGCAAGCCGATTGCCAGGCTCGGTGAAGAGATCAGCTGCCATCTGATCAAACACCAGTAAACACACACTAGCTACGTATATTCCGACAAATTGACAATTCCAGATTTTGATAGGCTCGCCTTCTATTGCTTGAAATTGCCATTTACTTTATGCTGCCTATGATATCCATGAGCACAGTCTTTGTTTTCGTTCCATTGTAGTCTGACTCATTCACTGTCGTATGACAACCAAACCGGCGGAATTAGTTATTGCCAAATTTGATTACAAGGCTGCGGACAGCCATGAACTGGGCATACAAAAAGGAGAGAGGTTAACTGTGCTGGATGATACACAGAAATGGTGGCGCGTGATGAATGCACAAGGCGCCACCGGTTACGTCCCGAGTAACTACGTGAAACGATCTAAACAGGTATGTGCTCCCTCATCCTTGTCAATTATCACCCAACAAATACAGGGAATTTTTTCTAGCTTGCGTAATACACTTGGTCGTGGGAAGTCGCGACACGAAGGTAGTATCACCTATTCCTTGTCCGGAAAACCCAATTCCTCACCTATTCCAGATAATAACGATATCGATGGTCGTCGGAGTAAACATGGCAGCGTTGACTCACTTGGCGACAAATTTCATAAGCTGAACTCCAGCGCCGACGTGTTAGCCTCTTCTGGATTTTCCGAGGGCGACATGCTTTCTCGATCCGCTGCAACCACATTCAATCGGTGCTCTAATGCGGTCTACAATCCTCGAATGGAGATGGCGAAGCAGTCGCGGAGCATGCGTGACCCGCTATACGATCGAACTCACGACTTTGACAATGTTAGGGCTGATGGATGGGGGTCACTTGCAATCCACAACCCTCAAATACAGGTGTGATTTTATCCGGTGTACTCGTTGCATGTGTGTGCTCCGTATTCGTTTTGTGGTGCTCTGCTTTATGTAATTGGTGAGAAAATGGTCTCGGTCTGTTCGACTTCATCAAGCGTGTCATCGGCGGTTGATTCATAGTTTGTGGTTTGCGAGTGAATTTTGTCGGTTTGGATTGTCCGCATTATTTTCGTTACCGTTTGCCGCCTAGGTTGCTGCTTTGGGTACTCCTCACTGTGTCAGCGCTGAAAAGCTGGACCTTCAGAAGCTGACCTCCCTCATTGTAACGGCTTGTCAAGACATCTTTTATGGGGATTACCATTCTACTGATATTGGCTACCTGGCAGATGGCGTCCTATGTCTGTGAAAGCCATCGTTTCAACTTTTAAACAATTATTTGACTTTATTTATTAGTTGAAAGAAACCGTTAGATAAGCGTGCAATATTGAATTTTCCCATTTCACTTGTTTACCATTACAACTGCTAATACTACTAACAATAATACTTGTAATAATACTAACTAATGGAATCTTCCCCTCAAGCTGTTTCTTGTGGTTGTGTTCACACGCTTCCTCTCTACATGTCGGTTCACCTAGTCCTCAGCTAAACGGCCAATAAGTTCTCAGGGAGGACAAACTTCCACCCAAAATGGTCGTCACGAGCATTTGGATTCGCAGCGGTTCCCGCCCTCCGTTCTCCAACCCGAGGTTTCGGAAACGCCCACTGTTGGTCTCCTCATATGTCAGGCCTTATTCGCCTATCCAGCCAACCAACCTGATGAATTGTCCATTGAGCGCGGTGACAGAATTCAAGTGGTAGAGAAAAGTTCCGACGGTTGGTGGCGGGGTGTTCTAGTCGATCAAGACCGACAATCTCGGATGGGTTGGTTTCCGTCCAATTACGTCACTTTGGACCTATCCAAGAATCTGGCTCGGTAAGTTTCCCGCACGTATCCTACATGAATTCTTGGTCACTTGAACCACGCCGGTGAAAGGTTTGGCTGGTTGATTGCTGGGCTTTGCTTTCTGTGAATGACTTGACTTCGTGACCTAGAACTGATGTGTCGTGTAAACGATTATCTCAGCCCCTCGTTGTCTGCCTCTATCAATTTTGTTTGGACCACTGTGGTCGTTGGCTTGTTCTCTGAGCTAAGCAATTTGATTGCAAATGTTTCATCACCAATCGAGGTGACATCATCAGTGCGTTATTGGGGAGCGTAGTGGTGCGTAGCGGCGGTGAAACGTTTGCAATCAAATTGCCCAGCTCAGCGAACAAGCCAATGACCATCTACGCTACCTGAGCTACCAACATTTTCTTCTATTGGCCCACTGTATGTGTAGAATGAAAGTCTCCCTCCGGGATCACTTTTTTCGGGGCGAGATATCTCACTGGTTAGAGTGAATTGGCTTACCGAACGGTTCGTGGTTGGAACCCGACCTCTGTCTGTCGACTTCCTCCATCTAGGCTTGGGCAACCTTACAGTATTCTTCCCCTCGTTCTTCCTTCGGGTGGCATGGCAGCTAGGCACCGAAAGGGTGTTACAGCTGAACGATTACTATTTTGAATGCATCCGAGTTGTCTGTGAATGCGATATTCGTTATAGGAAAGACTCTATTTTCGATTGATTAGTTGACCGTTGGTGGTCATTTTGAGCCCGTTCACCAAAATGGCAGGCGATTAACTTTGCATCAGCGGCCACATTGATAATGTTCCCCAGATTAATGACATACCCAAGAGTGTCCGAGGTTTACACTCAAGAGCAGCTGGTCAATAAAGTGTAGGGCAGATTCGGCTCATACTGATGATCGGTTATCTCATTGCTAATGGTGGTCTGTCAACCAACTATTTGAGTGTTGCGGTTTCGAATCTCCCTTGAGCGTCATAGGGTGTCCAATGTTGATGACCCCCAACGGCAATGAGATGGTGGTACAGTGCTCCTCAGCTTTATATTTGGTGTTAAATTTGCCCTTTTGGACAAAACTTATATTCAAACTTCAAAATCTTCAGTGGAGACGTAATATTCACGACTGAGTTAAGGTGTGCCTTTCGGTCGTGGTGCTGTTCAAGTTCTAGATGTGGTATAGGCTATGGTCAGGTTTGTGGGAGTTTACCACCCCTAGATAGCGGATAAAATATCCGTCTAACCAGCAGGGAAAGGCTCAAGCGATATCTGTCGTTTTCAGTCTGCTATCGCCTGCGTAGCAGATGTGCGCCTGGAGGGCTTGAGAACCCATAGATCACTATTAACCCCTCATTTCGTCAGATGAGCAGTATCCCACCGTTTTACAGTGCTCTTCTTGTCTCTCAACTGTAAACTAGCTACGTCGCATAGCTAGCTGCGGCAACATATCGATTTGTGTTGGAATTTTTCTAGTATGTTGTACTGCACCACACAGGTCATGACCACTATTGACATGGCTTTCAGTGTGTGAGTTTTGTATGTGATTGTATTTCCTGCGATTTGTTTTGTGCTTTCTTCAAATGAACTTGCTGGGGACTGCTCTAGAGCTGGTCAGAATGTCACTAAGTAATCATTAAGCGTGTTTAAGGCAACAGCACATACATTCGCATAAACTAGGCTAGATTTAGGTGTCCGATGTTGTAACGGATCAATTCCTGATTCGTTAAACCGCGTTCGACGCCGCTAAATGGACAACACACGGATGACCCACCGATAGTTACCAAGATGAAGTGATACAGTTATCTGAAACCCGTCCCTTCTTATGTTCACGTTGTCTTTCGCTTAAAAGCCAATTTTGACTGGTTGTAACTAACACTATGAAGTAGTATGGTTCTTTGTCTTTTAGCTTCACGTGTACAATGTTCGGGAGTTAACCGTTTGTTAAATGAGAAACACGTTGCTAGTCTTAGAAGGCTTCAGCCACGCAAAATAATTCACTTTCATTGATATTCGCGGAAACACTAATGTATCATGTTGTTTCATCGTCAAGGGAAGGTCGAGCCGAGTAAACTAAACCCCAAAAACTGTAAATTAAAGGAGGCCGGCGGTAGGAGATGGGGTAAAGGGCTTCTGTACCTGTAAGGGTGCATTTATCACTAATTTCACCTGACCTGTGTGAAGCTTGTTGTCTGTTGGGGAACAGCTGTTTATTAGGTTGGTCTTTCAGACATGCAGAGCTTTCTGATCATATTTTATGATAATACGATCTGTACAAACTCTCCTGTATAACCAACCTGTATATTCAGGCCTACTGCAGAGAGAGAAACCCACTTTTGTTAGGCAAACGAATGGAGCAGAACATCATAAATGAGGCAGAATCGTGGAGTGGTCTTCACTTGAAAGTTCCTCAATAAGTGGTTGTTCGGACCCAGTCCATGTTCTGAAACACTGAACCCATAAACTTAAGTTTCCTTGTTTTGAACCAAACTTGTGGCTACTTATAGTCTTATGACCCGCATTTTTTCCTGTTCATTCTGTTCACAACCCGGATGATTGCGTACAGTTTCAGTCCTCTTGCCTATCCTAGCCGTGTTCCGTTTACGTTTGGCGGATTTTCCCTGTTAGCCCGTGTGTTGAATCCCAGCTGATGGTTTTACTCGTGCACTGACCATCCGCCGATCGATACAATGGAATAGTTACCTGCCAACCAGTTGGCCAGCCAGGATTTTGCCCCAGGTTCTCCTTTTGGTCAATTGGAATGTGTGTATACGGTGCAGCTCCTCGATGCAGACTGCTGGCAGCGTCGCCTTAATTCATACTGGATGATGATGCCTCATTAGCATGCCTGTTAGTGTTTTCAGTTGGCATTAGACTGTGGGAAAACATGGTAATCAGTACAGCTAATTTCAGTAAACATCGAACTTTGCCCATCTTTTGAAACAATAATCGTAGCATTACTTAGTGTGATTTGCATGGCAGTCCTATTTTGAAATGACTGAATTTTTCGGTAACTTTTTATCATTTGTTGCAGTCTTAACGTTTACCCCACAACACCCTCCTCATTTCTAAATAGGATTCGGTGTTTGTTTCGATGCTGTGACCAGTGGACATAGCCAGTTGGCATTTGAGAATACCGATGCAGTACCATAAGTCGTTCGGCATCACCATATTTTCAGTTGTGGACACTGCCTCTTCCTGTTAAATAAACGATTGAGTTGTGGGTCCGGAAGTTAGCTTATTGCTCGTTTCATTACGAGATAAACCCTATTGAATCCAAATAAGAATTTATCCCCTCAGCTATTCAGAATGTAGTCATTGCCTGTCCCTCTTTAGCGACAATTGTGGTAAATTATGGAGCAGCTCCCACCTATAGATCCCTAAGAACAAGCCAAACAATTACAAACCTAGCTGTCTTTCTCCCATAAATGTTCGCATCCACAGCTTATCTTCAGGGGAAATAGCAGCCCTATACTCTATCTAATATATTTTGTCATCACCACGGTCACAGATTAAAAGATCGTTCAGGACGATGTCAGGATAGATTACCTCACTCGAGAGTCTTGCATGCACTAGCATGCTAATGCGCATCTGTCGACGACAAAACGACTGCAGTAATGCGAACTTCGTAACCCATGCTGACAGTCTTCACTCTCATCGGGCTGTTTTGTGCACACTGTTCAAGACCATCCCCATAGTTTGTCATTCAGAAAGTTTGCACCTGCGTTTATCTCTTGATCAAATCTTTTTCAACAAGTGCATCACTATCCCAGCTACGAATAATGTTTTCTGTCGTTTATGATTTCGCCTTGGTCCATCTTTAACCCCAAGAACTGTTGCGAATGTTATTGTCTTTTCTGCAACTTCACCTTACTGAAAGGTTTGCGTGCTTTCTTCCAGTGTGATGATCACTGATGGGACCTTAATTTGAACTGCTTGATGTGAATGAATCAGTCTGTTGCTGACTTTTTTTAAGCCGTCGAGATAGATTGCTTCCATCGATCACCTCCTTTCCCAAGCAGAAGAGGTCGCCCTTATCTTTTCACAAGGAACACAATTCATACTGATAAACTACCTACAGGACTTGTTGACAGAACCTCTACACCATGTTCGAGAATGTGTGGTGATCTTGCATGCAGTGCCGCAGATACCGAGGCAGTCCGAACACCTTGGGGGCCTTTGGACTTCGTGCTGTCTTGTGGGAATTGTTCCAGGTTCATGTAGATTCCACAAACAAGGTAGATAACGGAGTGTTGCCTGTGAAGATACTGAGAACTTACTGTGTTCCCTTTAGCGTCCACGGAAGTTTGTACATTTCTAAAACCAAAGCCCCATAAAATCTGTTAACACCCAATGATAGGCTTCAACTCGTGTTATTTGTGCCTTGTGGTCCCCAGCAGGTAAAACTGGTGTTCTTCCACTCCGGAGAACTATTTAGCATACCCGCAAATACTCACTCTCACAGATTACTTCCAAATCGGTTCCACAAGGCAGAAACCAAAACCTTCGTTTGCAAAACACATAATCCTTCGACGACGCCCGGGCCGGTTCTGAGTCTAGAAGAAAGTTATCATTTTTTCCATCCTTTTTCTCGTTCTTCGTTTCCTATAAGCACAATTTCCGAACTATACTGAAAAATTCATTCAGCCTGTCTTTAAGTTGTGCACGTTTAGGTACAACTGGTCCCAGCTTTTCGCGTTTCACCCCCGCCCTCCAGCCTCCAAGCATGAAGTGGCACATTTTCTCATTCAGATGAAAAAAGTTGAAATAACATCTTTGCATCTATGGATTGCTCCTTAGATGGCTGTTGATCCGCTCGCCGAATTGGGCGGATGGTTTGCAAACGTTTCGTCACCCTTCGGGGTGACATCGTTAATGCGCGACTGGTTGCCTATTCTTTCTCTTCCTGCCTTCATTCATCGCTTCAATGGAGTGTCCGGCTGTTTTGAGATTACCTTACTCACAGAGTCCGTCAGTAATCTATTTTGCGTTGTGATCTGTTATTTGACTTGTTAACTGTCTGCCTTCCGTTTTCA